AAGTTGACAAAGTGTTATTGCTCAGTCCCAATACTTAATGCTGTATAGCCTTCAGTACACTATACCGTTATTTTCAGCATCTTCTGTTCCCTTCTCATTAATCACAATTCGATTCTTTTCTCTGTAAAATTAGAAGGAAAAAAAAAAAAAGATATTAGCAAATGAACAGTAGTTATTTCTTCAAAATAAAATGAGAAAAGGGAAGACATACAAACCGATACCTTGGACACCCGGCTTTTGGATCCTGGTTGAATGATTTGTATTTTTCAATTACAAAAAGTTCTAAAATACCATTTCTAATTATGGGTTTCCTGTGGTTGTAGAATAATTGCTGCAGTAGTCTGATCTGAACTGTAAATCGATTGGTAATCAGGCCTGATTAAATTCAAACTAATAACCGTTGGTAATGAACTCTCTAGTAAGAAGTCAAAAGAAGACTGCTAATAAAATGCATTAAACACCACAGGCAACCCATAAATAGAAATACCCAACAGGTCAGATCGGATTACAGCTCATGTAACCGTAGGCCGATCTGAAACAAAGAGAAAGTCATAAAGAGCAAAGTTACCTAAACCCATCAAGACTTAAATGCTCCGAAAACTGGGTTCCCTGTGATACAGCTACTAATGATTTTTTAAAGTATGTAAATAGAGACTGCATGCCTGGATGCCGTTCATCATATATCATACATTATATATTAACATATATCGCTCATCAAGGATCACTATGACAAACATATACACTGAATACAAAAAGGGTCTATTATTAATTCTCTATTCCCAGAATAAATCGTGCTCTTACATGGCAATCGCCTAACTAGGTAAACTTACATATTCATTTCGACTGTATTTCGGTCTCCAATTGTAACAACTTTTGCTATTCCACTGATAGTCACATAATAATTATTGATTCGTTGAAGTTGACCATCTGTGTCAGCTTGATAAATAAGTAACAATATGTAAATTTAGAGTAGAGTAGGTTTATTGTCCACAACATAAAATATACGGGTTAAGGTTGTTTGTTTTATATATATATATACAGGTTTAAAAAAAACAAAGGCACTCTTGTCTAGCTGAAGTCACTATATAAAATGACCAGAAAAAAATGTTTACACCCAAGCTAGACCAGAATGCAACTTGTTCCCTATCCTAAGTCTAGGTGATCAATGCCATATTAGGATTTTTAGTTTCATTATTCCCTAGGGAGTAAGTTGCCCTGCACTGAGAACTGTTGCATGACTGTCACTGGCACCATCAAACTTCTTCGCCACTGAGAACTAACTGAGAACTAACTGAGAACTAACAGAGAACTAATGTAACAGACTTTTACTTTATTTGGTACAGTATATTATAACAATTATATATATGTATATATAATAGATATATTAGTGATACAGCTACAACCTATTTCATAAAAAGGCTGGTAAAGGTTTTGTTGCATGTTGCATACCAAGCCCGAACTGCACTAAAATGACAAAACGATGTGAAACTTTTCTAAACTTTGTGTGCATATCAATTATTCCCGCATAATTCATTCTGTGTTGACATATGAATACAATACAATGAATTACATAATTTAAGAATATAATACATTTCAATTAGTATAGGAAATCGCACGATCTCGAGTACAATTTGGAAATTAATAGACACGAGTAATGTTTTGAAAGTTCTTGTAATTGCACGAGCCTTTAGGCGAGTGCAATTCCAAGAACTTTCAAAACATTAAGAGTGTCTATTAGTTCCAAATTGTACGAGAAGATCGTGCGATTTTTTGTTTATATTTTTTGTCAGTAAAAAATGCGAAGCGACGCCGTTCATCTTTGTCTATTTGGCGGCCGATTTTCAGTCTATCGCGCAACTAAAATGCATAAAAAAGTTCTTACGGCTTTAAAATTTCATTATATGTTTTTTAAGTACAAAATGATAGAAAATAATTGTTTTGACATTGTTTTGGCCGTGTTGCCATAGCGACTTAATTCGGTACTCCTACRGAGTACAATTAACGCTATAATTGTACTCCTCTCGACCAATCAGAGTCGAGTAATTTTGTTGAGTGTACTATAAGCTTAGTAAGCAAGATCCAAGATGGCACAGCATGCAAGCTATGCAAGATGCAGCATGCAAGCTAATGCAAGTTGCAAGATGCAATGAAACCTAGTTCACCACCTTTTTTTTGAAATAGCTGTATATCAAATTACAGACTTGAATTTTCAAACTTCTGGAAAGGAATTAATWATAACATTTTCTAAAGCCTTTTTGGCATTAGCTGTACCTTTAAAATAAAGTAAATTAAGAAGATGAAAAAAATAATCATAATAAACAATAAAGAAAATCAAATAAAGTATCACTACTGGCTGAGAACCTGTGCCCACTACTGACTGAGAACCTGTGAAAATCCTGTGAAAAACCTGTGAAAAATAACTCTCAATTTTAGGAATTTCACAGGTTTTTCACAGAATTTTCACAGGATTTTCAAACATCCAGACCAGCTGTGAAAAGGAACACTTTCACAGGTTCCAGAACCTGTGGAAATTCTGTGAAAAACCTGTGAAAATGTAACCTGTGAAAAACATGTAAATTCACAGGTTTTAACTACCTTAAAAACCTGTGAAAACGTACACTTCCACAGGTTTCAAAACATTTGAAAAACCTGTGAAAATTTAACCTGTGAAAAACCTGTGAAATTTTTTCACAGGTTTTCACAACCTAAAAACCTGTGAAAACGTACACTTTCACAGGTTTTGAAACCTGTGAAAAACCTGTGAAAAACCCGTGAAAAGAATTCACAGGTTTTTTCACAGGTTTTTTTCCACAGGTTTGAATTTGTCAAAAACCTGTGAAAAGGGACACGGCTAAAAAACCGCTGCGCATGCGCCAAAATTCCTGAAAACAAGATGGCGGACGCAAGAGTGTTTCCCGTGCTTCAAAATGCTTTTATTTCCCATGACTATTTCCCATGATATTTCACTTTGATTGGAAATCGAGAGCAAGCAGATAAATCTGTAGACCCTATTGAACATGTCCATGGTCTTTGAAAGAATATTGACTCATTGATCATCATGGTAAACGATGCTGTTTTGGAGCAACAAAATTCATATTCTTGTAAATTGTGGATTCAAAT